AACCCGGCGTGGGAAAACTCGGACCAAATTGGGAAGGATCCTACAAAGTAAAGAAAGCACTCGGGGGGGCATATGAGCTCGAAACCTTAGAGGGTAAGCAAGTACCCCGAGCATGGAACATCGTCAACCTAAGGCGATACTACCTATAGACCGCCAAGCAAAGTGGATAAAATCACCACCAAAACAGGCCGCGCGAGTGCGGTAGCCTGGACAGAAAATAGATCGGACGTATGATTAGTTCGGCAAAATATGCTCAGTTCGGGAGAAAGAACAACCAACACTTAACCAAAAGTCATTCCACTTCAAAAGTAAGGTAGTACATTTAAAAAAAAATTTACAAGCCCGAAGCTATTTCTTCATTATCAGAAGGCACTTCAACAATACTCGAAGGCCCCACCTCGCCCTCGGAGTCTGGCTCACCGTCAACAGCATTGGCCATCTCCTGAGTTATGCGCGAAGTGGATATGGTGCTAATATCGAGCTCGGGGTACGTATTCCGGATCATCCACCGGCTTAGTTTAAAACCCCTCCTATATGAATCCACCATCAGATCATCAAAGCCCGATGAGAGGTGGATGCCAAACTGCCCGAAGCGCCTCGGCCTACGAGTTCGAACTCTTCCTCGAGCTCTACCTCCGGCTCGCTAGGGCTGTTAGGGGATGCAACTCGGTTCGTAGAACCTACATCAAACCCGCTGGAAGGACTATTTGAGCTATCCAAGCTAGACATCGGGAAGTGAGATGGGATCCAGGAAAGTACTCACCCGGAAAAAGGTTGTAGACCATAGGAGCTCGAACGAGCAGAAGACCTTGAACGCGAGCTGAAAAAACCTGGACGCGAACTGGATGCGAGCTGAAACTCGGACGCGACCTCAAGAGAAACACAGAAGTGACAGCGACTGGGGTCCCCCCCCGCTATTTATATTCACAGTGATCGAAAAGCAACGGCTTAGATCAAAGCCAATCTGACGGCCCGCAGCCGCACCGACCGCGCGTTCCCTGAGACTGAGACGTGATTGGCGCACATCTTTCTGAAACTGACAGGGCGCCAGTGCACGTCTTTTCGAAACTGACAGAACGCCAGCGCACATCTCCTCAATAAAAGCGGCAGCGGCACGTTTTTTCAAATTTGAAAAGACGCCTGCTATCGCGCCTCCCAAGTGGCACGCTTTTTTGAAATTTTGAAATAAAGCGCGCGCCGTCACATCTATCGGCACCTAGGTAGGCCGGCACGCTTCCCGCCTTTTGGACGCTCGAAGAAACCCAAGGAACCCTGACAACGCACCTCGCGCCATCAGAACCAAGATTCAAAGGTCAGGGCAATCTACCTGACACCTCGCGAACTCCCCGCGCTAGGGCAAGACCCTTAGCGCGAAGAGTGGGGGGCAATTGATAAATGAAGATTTGGCCCGACCTCGCAATCACGCCACGTGGCAAAAAACAAGTAGCTCGGCACTTAAAGCAACGTACCCAGGGTGCAAACACCAAAGGGAAGAAACCAGCAGTCTGAACTCCCCTCGAGGAGACCGAACTCCCTTCTAAGAGCTCAAACTCCCTATGAGGAGCCCGAACTCTCCCTTTAATCCCGAGCCACACAAAGCAGTGACCCGAACTGGCCCGCCTCATGGCAGTTCGGGACACTCCCCTATCCGAACTCAAGACTTCGCCTCGCACACCACTCCAGCACTTCGCCTCTAGAACACCGTACCTAACACCGAAGGAGTCCGTATCCAGGGGCGGCGCACCTGACTGACTTGGGATTTGACGCTTGACAGCCGCACTTCAACGGCCACTTTTCACCGTCACCTGCCACCGCCATCTCCAGTTACAGAGACGGCTCCGACAAAAAGAGCAGTTGCGGTTCTGCCCCAGCAGAGGTGATGACACCCGAACTGGTAGAAGCACGAAATTAATCATACCCGACCTGGCAGAAGCCTAGGAGTGAGTGCGCGATATGGTTATAAAAGGCTCTCTACCACCCAAGAACATGGTATGCAAACTTTGCGCTATCTGGTTTTATCTCGCCTTTGAAGGATTCTAACTTGAGCTTCGGAGCCTTTACACCGGGTTCCCCCCAGAGCTTCATCATCTTCTCCATTTCAGGTTCCCTGCTGCTCAATTCAGAGGCAAGCTCGTTGATAGCTAAGACCGGCCGGATTGCGCACTATCAACACCAAACTTAGAAACACACAACAGTAATCCTCTCACCAAGGGCCTATTTCGGTCTGGGGCTGAGCACATACACCCTCAACATAATCACCCACCTCGGACGCGACGGGAAATCAGCATTCCGAAATCCCAAGGGAATATAATCAATGAGGTTTATAAGGTATTCATTCCCTTGTCTTTCACCCTAGCTCGTAGTTTCTTCATAGAATTAATCATCAGTCATCTTACAGAGAAATACCAGTAGATTAATTTAATGGTAATACCACGCTTTACTTCATCTTGGTGTGTATCCGTCATCCGAACGTCTCTTGCAACCTCCTGAGCATGGATACTGGCTTTCACCACAAGAATCAGTGAGTGTAGATTTAATTCCCAAAATCCTGCGAAACTCTTCTACTGTAAACTTCGATCACCATGCATCTTGATGGTTATTTTTTGTTATCACCTAGCTTTGAAGAAGAACCTCAAAGGAGGAGGAGGAAGAGAGGAGAGAAAAGCAGCCAAGGAGCTCTAAGTCGCCTCTGCGGAAAGCAGAGAATGGATGTCCTCTTGTCTTGCCCCTCAACATAGTAGTAAATAAGAATTTAAAAGATTGTGCTTTTTAATTTATATACCTGTTTGGAATTCCTTTGCAAGCCATGCAAGTACCACAAGTCACATGGTGCTGGTGTGCAAGTACTACAACCAGTCAACCACACCACCCTTTTCTTTTAATCCAACAAGAAAGCTTTATTAATGAAGCGAGCAAATTAAGCACAAGGCAGGAAGAGACATTTATTAATTCGCAAAGTTTATTTAATTAATGAAAGAGCTAGCTATCACCAATTGGCCATTCTCCAATTATACATTTTATGAGGTGAAAATGAAAAAAAGAAAGAAACTAAAATGCCAACTAATTAAAGTAATTAAGAAGCTTATGACCTGGTCTCTTTGGCTGTAACCTATAAGCAGCCGGTGATTCGGTCAGAATCCACCGTTCCTGGTGATCTTAGCAGCACAATTTCCAATTAACCGTTGGTGTTTAATAGAATGGTGGAGATAAAGTTTGATTTTAATCAACTCGATCGGGTAATGGAGCGCAGTCAGCGCAAGCGAGACTCCCTCTCCAGTCTCCACCCTCTATAATTGCTCTACTCCTCACCTTTTCCTCATCCTTTCACAAAGCAGCATTTCTCTCCATATATATATATATACATAGAGAAGTACCACGCTGTTGAAAGGATCTGGTGGTGTTCTTCATCCTTTCTATATTTTTATATAGATATTATATTATATATATATATATATATAAATATTATATCTCATCTCATCGCCTCCTCTCCTTAATTTGGTCTTTTATTCTTATCATTCCATCTGATAGCTTGTGCTATTATTACCAACAATGGCGCGCCAAGTTGCCGTTATCGGTCTTATATTCATTGTCGTCGTTGCCGGGTCGGTGTCCGCACAAGCACCCGACGAGCCCCCCACTGCATCCCCGTCACCAAAGGCTTCACCTACGAAAACCAATGCTTCCTCCTCCCCCGCTTCGGCACCTTCAAAATCTACTCCCTCCAGTGCATCCTCCCCTGCTTCAGCACCTTCAAAATCCACTTTCTCCAATGCTTCCTCCGCCGCTTCAGCACCACCTTTAAAATCCACCACTGTCTACACCCCCGCCTCTGCCCCAGCTCCCAGTGGTGATCATGCCAAGTCACCTGCTGCACCTGCATCAGCAAAAGCCCCCACTGCTAGCAGCGCCCCGGCCTCCTCACCAGATGCTGATGCGAATGCCTTATCTCCTCCTGCTCCAGGACCTGGCTCTATTGATGCTACTGAAGGACCCTCAAGTAGTGCTGAAGGCCCCGTTGCAGGTGAGACGATAGACGCTGATGCTCCTATTGCTGCGGGACCTGCAGCCGACGAGGCTACACACAGTGGGTCATCTGCCTTGGGCGTCTCATTCACTGTCACTGGGGTTGCTGCTCTTGTTGCTTTCTTCTACTACTAAATTGTTGCTACGGTACGTGCTGATCCAGATGGCACATACAGTCATAATATTAAGAGATAAGTGGCTTGGATGGTTACTATACATGCATGCATGTTTGAGACTTGAGGGGGATGTATGTAACATAGGAGCTACTGATCCATAAGGGGACAAACCGACAAAGGCATGCATTGGTCTATTTGCTCGTTGCTTTTGCTTCTTCCTTGGAGGGCCTCCTCGCTCGATGCAGAATTCATCATGTTCATATATAATTTTGGGAGGCGAATTATCTTTTTCATCTTTTCTTTTCTTTTAGTTCATTTAATATTTACACCACCACCATTTCTATCTTCTCTCTTTCTCTGCTACAATGTAATTTCTTTGAAAACATAATATGAGACAAAGAAAAAGAATAAAAGACCATATTTTTTGAATGGGCCTAAAGGCCAAAATGCATTAATAGTCAATCGTCTTGGATTACAGTTCTTTCGAAGGAGGCAAAATCCTCATAAATTAACTCTGAAATACAAGGTGGGAGTGACACAATTCCAAAAGAAATGACCAGAAATACCCAGTTTGGCAAGAGAATGAGCCACTCGGTTAAAGGATCTCTTTATGTGGGTAACCAAGACAGATTCAAAAGTGGAAGAGAAAAGCCTCTTGCTGTCTGCAACGAGTCCGGATCTCCTGCCGGCACAAACTCCGCCCACGTTTATCGCAGCCACACATGCATGTGCATAGTATTATGCAGAGGGAGATGCTCCCAATTCACGGCTAAACTACCTAGCTACCAGGATTGAACGCACCAGTGCTCACTGTGAGCCCCAGCTGTACTGAATACTGGCATATTCAACCGTAATAGATAATTCAGCCGGTGTGTATGTTTTTATCTCCAGTTAATGCTATTGGTATTACGAGCACACCACAACTGCCACATTAAAGTCGCTACAATGATAAATGGAGTCTCGTCCTCTTGATCATTAGATGTCATAATCCATTGACAAACCAATTAATTAAATAAGGACCCACTAACTTCCTCAGATCTTATACATCAAATAGAACCCCACCATACAGTTTTGGCAAAAGTAATTTGAATGTCCGTAATTTCTTCCATATTGTCGCATGCACATTGAGAGAAGAACTTGAAGCCGAATATTTCCAAGTATAAGCTTATTTGGTGGTAAATCTTCCTTTTGGTGTTAAAATCCAGCAAAAGAGAATCTTGATCTAAAGGGGCATATATAACTTTGTAGAGGAATTTTGATAATCTAATCTACCACTGGGTTAATTATCAAAATGGTTAAGCAATTTATTGGTATCCAAGGTTCGGCTATTGCTACTAATAAAATAATTGACTTTGGTTGTATGTAGGAGATAGGTCCTGAGCAACAATTGGTTTGTAGCTAGATATAGTGGGGATCCAAGGATCAAACTGCATTTACCAATGAGCCATCTCCAATCAACCAACAGGCCCCTCTCGCTAGGATGTGTCTACAACTCATAAAATAATTGACCAATGAGCCACAATTGGTTTGTAGCTAGATATAGTGGGGATCCAAGGATCAAACTTTATTTACCAATGACTCCAATCAACTAACAGACCCCTCTCGCTAGGATGTGTCTACAACTCATAATTGCATGCCAAACCTTAGAAGCACCTACCCTTACTTTAATCTACCAAAAATTCTTCTGTTTGTCCAGAGTCTATTAGGTTCAGATAAGAATTGCCAGCCCAGCTTGGTGACTAAAGCTTTTGGTTAACCATGGACAAATTTCGAATACCTAGCCCACCAAACTCCTTGGGGAGCATATAATTAGACCAAGCAAAGTTGGTCACGAATATTCTTGGGAAGCAAAGTTGTAGACAAGTAATAAACTGGTAGACTTGCCAATGAGGATTTGATTAGAGTGAGCGACCCGCATGAGGTAAGCATTTTGCACACCAACCACAAAGACGTGATTTCATTTGATCAATAATGAATTGAAAGCTTGTCTTACTACTAGATCTGGCCTTGGAAAAGTGGATTGCCCCAAGATACCTATCCAACTTCTGCAGGGATTTAATTAACTCCCAATAGCTGATTAAACCTTCTACAAAAGTGTCGATGAACGTTGGGACTATAATGGATAGCTAATTTTTCAAAGTTCTTTGACTGGCCCGACCATTTGCAGTATTAATTGGTTAAGAACTTTGGTTGTAGTTTCAACTTTCAACTTCCTTCATATATTAGCCTAGCCAAATGAGACCATAAACATACATTAAATGTGAAATTGTTGGACCACTTTTATGAGCTTTGATACCATGTATCTGTTGATGATGTTCTTGTAGATGCGTCAACTTCCTCGAGAGTGTTTCCGTCACAAGCAAGAAAAGATAAGGGGGAAGTAGACACCCCTGACAAATGCCTCTAGAGGGCTTGAAATAAGAAGTAGGCTCTCCATTTATCATAATAGCAATTGCCGAAGAAGAGATGCACAGATTAATGAGGGCACAAAAATCATTTGAGAAGCCCAACAAAGATGAGATCTGAATCAGAAAAGACCAATTCACTCTGTCATACGCCGCCTTGGCCATGTCAAGTTTGAGCATGAATGAACTCACCTTGCTCTTCCTCCTCTTCATTGAGTGCATGATCTCTTTTATGATAATAAAATTGTCAAAGATGTGCATGCCTGACAAAAATGCATTCTGAATAGGAGAGATGATCCTCTGCAAATTTGGTCTTAAACGCTTTGCTATAATTTTATTAGCAACCACCTTATAATGGATGTTACACAACCCAATGGAATTATATTTAACCAAATGGTCTTACTATGGACTAGATATAATACTATTATAACCATAATACAATAATGGTGATAACATATAATATTTGTATGGTAATAATAGTATGCAATATTATTATTCTATATTTCATAATCATAATACTATGGTAACTGTTGATTATGATATTAAAGTTATATATAATATTAATTTGGGTAAATTATAAAGACCCCTGTGAAAGAATGGTAGGATCCATCTAATGGACGCCATAAAGGTTGCGGAATGGGTGGGCGAATTTCAAAAATTTCCTACCTTCTCCCAACTGGAAATCATATTCCCAAAATTTAGAATACAATATTCAAGGATCTACTTGAACCCTAATCAAACCAGATCTGTACCAAAAGATAAATGGGAGGATTATACCTGATCCGGAGAAGCAGTATCTCCCAAAGTT